TGTGTTTACTTTCATGTAGGCTATAGTCTTTTCAGCGAAATAATCACAAAAACTCCAACACAACAGAAACTCTTTCAAATGTCAAACATTACAGCAATAAACACTAACAGTTCTCTCCCTTCATTAAAAACACTTATAAAATAACACTTAATTTCAACATGTATTCACCTATAAATATAAAAATGGCACCAGAACTCATCAAAAAATAATGTTTGCAACTTTTTAATTAAATCAACAAATAAGAATTTTTAACATGCATTCATTTAAGTTATGGTAACAGACCCCCTGAATTACTTTTTAGAGTACTACCAATAAATAATGGTCCTAACATACTGAATTTAATGCTGATGAAACGAGGCTATGAGGAACAGACTTACTGTCTTTACTATGGTACGCACTGTATAAAGGTCCTAGATCAAGTAATTTTCATAATTTCCAAACTGTTTTATAGAGTTATTGTCTACTTTTTATTGATTGATTGATTTTCTCTCTGGAGGATGTTTTGTCAGCTGAACAATCAGCATGTTGTTAAACAACAGTTCAGTCCATAGAATGCACTGTACTTCAGTCCCTCACAGCCTCACTTTCAATCCTGTCAGAAATGAAATATGGCGCTACTAGACTATGAAGTTGTGATTCTGTGCATCAATAATGTATAGTACACAATTAGAAATTCACAGTTCATTTGGCTGTGACTAAAATATTGTGTGTTATGCAGATTACAGCAATTTGTGAGAAGAAAATACTTTTTACGTTTTTTTAAAATATATATATAGTTTGTATAGTTCTATATTTGGAAAATGAAAGAAATGTTCTTACAAGCAAACCCCAATGCTATACACATGCATATCAAGCAAGCTTACTGTATTATTTTGAGTAACATGCATGCACAATCAACATAATTATCAAATACATTGCATCATAGTCATCTGAAATATTGCAACCTGCGAGGTAACATTTTATAGTAATGTTAAGTTATAAATCATTAAAAGCATTTTGATAATGATGAACTAAATGATTAATCGTTTACCAAAAACGTCACTTTATTTTAAGGCCCGATTCTCACTATTAACTATTAACTACAACTTTTGCCTCAATAAACTCCTAATTTGCTGCTTATTAATAGTTAGTAAGGTAGTTGTTAAGTTTAGGTATTGGGTAGAGATTGAGATCTAAAATATGGTCATGCAGAATAAGGCATTAATATGTGCATTAAAGCTACTAATAAACAGCCAATATGCTAGTAATATGCATGCAAATAAACAACTAGTTAATAGAGAATAGTGTTCCCTAATGTAAAGTGTTACCAATAAAAAATAATATACATTTGTAGATGATTTTATATTTCTAGAATTTTCATAACAATATGAAAAAATATGGGGTGATCTGGGTGGTTGCATATTAGCCCTAGTCAAAAGAGATCACCCCCAAATTGCCTGTCAGGTGAAAACCGTAAGCCATGCATTATGAAGTATCAATCATGTTGCACAAATGATTGAAACGAATCACACGAATTATAGGCGTCTGTATATAGACAGAGAGTTGTAGTAATGTAACCTCAAAGGATACAATACAATAGAAAGTAACATTCAGGGGATCAGCTCAATAGCACAGGCCTGAAATGGAAGCGTCAGATTCCTGGAAGAGAGTTGAGCAGCACCGCTTTGAAACACAAACATACAATGTCAGGCCGCTATCATGTAATAATATGCCTGACTGACTCTCGGCAGAATCACAATCATGCTCCATTTATTTGAAAGTAATTGGTTTAGATGTTCATCCTCTGCCTGAACTACACGCTCCAAACAGAGGCAGATGTGCAGACACGTGTGCTGCTTCAGGAAGAGGGAATTCTGAGGGTCACTGAGGGAAACTGGAGCATACAGAAAAGAGGGATTTGCAAACGAGAGAGAGAGAGAGAGAGAGAGAGAGAGAAGTGGGCAGAGCAAACGCTTTGATCTGCTGTAGCTGCAAGCTGAGGGTTAAAATAGCTCAGACAGCTTCAGTTTTTTTTACTATTATCCATTCTTTTTGGGAATGCTCATTAGCATTGCAAATAGTGCAAGAACAGTATTTTTTTTTCTTTTCAGTGCACTCCCTTTAATCCAACTCCCAAATGTCTTTTTGAAAAGAATGAAAAAGTGTTTAGGGACTCAAAATAAGATGTAGCATGCACTGGTAGTGGCATCTTGATGAAGCACAATTACAGTGGGTACGGAAAGTATTCAGACCCCCTTAAATTTTTCACTCTTTGTTATATTGCAGCCATTTGCTAAAATCATTTAAGTTAATTTTTTTTCCTCATTAATGTACACACAGCACCCCATATTGACAGAAAAACACAGAATTGTTGACATTTTTGCAAATTTATTAAAAAAGAAAAACTGAAAAATGCTCAGTATTTAGTAGAAGCACCCATTTGATCTAATACAGCCATGAGTCTTTTTGGGAAAGACGCAACAAGTTTTTCACACCTGGATTTGGCGATCCTCTGCCATTCCTCCTTGCAGATCCTCTCCAGTTCTGTCAGGTGGGATGGTAAACGTTAAATTTAAGGGGGTCTGAATACTTTCCGTACCCACTGTATAAAGCAAATAGGCCTACTGTGTGCGTAATGAAGATTTTTAAGGCATTCATTTGAAATTTTATACACTACATTTTATGTTAATCAGCTATTGACACGGACAAACACTGGAGTCTAAAAATATTTACCTTATTCCAATTTTAATCCATGCCAATTTTAGTTCTAATCTTCTGGCGCCCCGTGCTGCACAGAATTGTTAGTACATGTTTCATCTGTTGTGCACAGATAATTTGACATGTCCACAGATTGTTCTGAATTATGAAGTATCAATCGTGATAGCTTACTTCGGCTATCAGGTCAGGAAATCTGGCGAAAACAATATAGAGAAACTGATAAGTTAGGACAGAAGAAATGTCAAATTTACCATCACGCATATAAACAGCAGTGTTAGCTACTGTGTTTTTAATGCTAAGGTAATATAACAAAAAGTAGTGTTACACGTACGTCTGCGAGATGTCTGTTAAAGATCGCTTCATCTGGAAAGCATCTGCTGTGTACAAACATCTGATAGACGTCTCTAAGATGTCAGTTTTACATTCATTCTAAATCATAAACATCTATTTGACATCTGATAGGAAACGTCCTATAGACGTATTGCAGATGAGCAAACACTCAAAAAAATAGACGTCTCCATCATGTACGTGTGCTATCAACAGTGATGTGTCACCAGCATAAATCAGAAAAGAACACTCTTATCTTGCACAGGTTCATCTGTTACTCAAGCACTGCAGGAAAAACATCCATCTCTCCTCCTCTTACATGCATGCATATTTCCATCTCTTACAACAACTCCCCCTAGTGGTACTTCTTAACCTACAGACTTTGTAATTGAACACAACAAGCAGCATATCTTTTGTGAAACATTAAAAAAAAAGTTGCTCGCCTCGGCATCCGTTTTCAGGCCTTCCTGCTCTCTAGCGTCTCTTTAGCGCTGGAAAGATTTTCCGATATTAACGCAGGTCCAGCTCTTGCCTGATCGTAACCCAGTTCTTTTTTTTTTTCGTTGATATTCCTCTGACATTTTTCTTTTTGGTAATTTTTCAAATTTTCTCCGAATAAGAAGACTTGCAAGTGCATAATAAATGTCAGAACTGCTTTTTTGATTTGTACTCTTGACACGTTAACAATTGCAAACAGTTGAACAAACAGTTCCATCACGCTATGCATTACTGTAACTAATGTTAACACTGCAGCTGTAGTTCTTCATGTCACTCAGCCATTCATACTGCAGTTCTCAGTGAAGCCACTCCGTTAGCAATTCCCCAACAAATGCTGGGACTATTCCCATCATCCTACAAGTGAAGACAACACATTGGACCGAAGACCTCCGTGTTTAACCTGAGGCTCTGGATTACAGGTAATAATGTTGTAAATAACGTTCAGTTTCATGCACAGACTGATCGTTTCGCTTCCTCAGGGGTATTAATTTTGTGTTGTCTGATTTTTTTTTTTTGGACTCTCACAGTGACGGTATCACTATAAAAAATGATTGTGATTTTAACAGTAAAAGACTGTAAAAATGCTACAGTAAAAACCTGTTAACTGGTTAACAGTAAGTTTCCATACTATATTCGGTGAATAAATGTAATTACATTTAATGCAATTTTACAGTAAAATACTGTTAAAAATACGGTTTTTGGAAGTGAAAAAGAAAAAGCCATTGTATAATTTACAGAGAAAAACTGTAAATTGACACTCCCAGAATTCCCAGCATGACACTTCATAGTTGATGTTTTTTTTTTGTTGTTGAAATAACATGTTTCTTATTAACATCAAATTAAATTTTTTGGGTCAACTATCCCTTTAACTTTACGATCACGTGATCATATAAATATTGCTCAATCATACAAAAAATCCTCAATGGTTGTCAAGCATCAAGAAAGCAAGTTTTTGCTTGCATATTTGATTTGCTCTATGTATGTGCATTGATCAATGTTCATATGTGAATAAAAACAATCGTAGCTCTTCAGAAAATTTGTATTAAACCATTTGATTCAAATGGATTACTTGACGTCATTGTGAACTTTTTGAAGCATCTAAGTTTTGAAGGAATGGACTTTTAATGGAGGGACAGAAATCTCTCAGGTTTTATAAAAAATATCTTGCTCTGTGTTTTGAAGATGAACCCAAACGTATGAATTTGGAAAGACATGAGGGTGAGTAATGGATGCGTTTTAATTTTTGAGTAAATTAACCCTTTCACTATTTTTAAAGTTGTATAAAAGCAATCGCATTCGCGATTTATTGTCCATTTTGAAAAGGTGGTTTTTAAAATCATTCATTGCAATTAAAAATAAAACCCTAAACGTTATGGAAAAATTTCTTCAGAGTACAAAGATCACGTATATACACATTCAAAAGAACAACCAGTCTTAAAAATAAAATTTATTAGCATCTCTCTAATGTGTGTGTATAAATAAAAACATGTATAAGAAATAATGCATATACGCATTATGAGCTGAACAATAACTGGATTATAGGTGATACAAAGGAGAAGAGGCTTACTAACCTCCATTATTTCTCTCTTCACTCTTTCTTTGTAACATATTCAGTTTCTTAGTATAATGTCTGTGAGAACGTACCTCAAAACTCAAACTTATCAAACAATATGCATATATCTAGAAGTTTCAACACTACATTCGGTCATAAGAATAAAAGAACGACAGAAGTTCAACAGCAACAATGGAGGAGACAACATGGAGTTTTGGCAGTTTTACAATTTTCAGTGAAGAGAGAACGTTGCAAAACAGCTTCAACATTGACAAATTAAAACGGTGAACGGAGAAGTGCCTCACTGTGATAATCTAACTCATCCTACAGCAGCTGCACCAATGCATTTGCTGTTTTTCTTAAATATCCGACGATAAACAGCACTGTTAAAATGATCAAAGTGAAACAATCTTTAAAGGTTGTATCTTATATTTCAGAACAAAACCTTTGTATAATGAATAAAAATGCACAAAAGTGGTAAAATGAGATATATTTTATATTGCTAACAACACCTGTCAGTATATGCATGAGACTGGACCTTCCACTGTAACATCGTGATACAAAGATCACTGTAACATCTGTAATGCAATCATTCTGTGGGCTCTGTTATATCGAGTTTCTAAGGCAAATCTGAAGAGTTAAGACCTCCTCCTCTGCCGTTCACAACACAATGGTTTTGGTCATGCTTTCAACACACAACGTGGTTTAAATAAAATAAAAAACACTGAATTCGACATATGCACACGTAACAAAAAAAAATTGTCAGTTGTTTTGGTCTAAAGGTGAAATTAATAAAAACGACATACACGTGTAACACCAAAAATGCCAATAGGTACAGGCAACGGCCACCTTTCAAATAACAACACTGTATGACGCCGCCATGAAAAAATAAAAAATAAAAAAAAACAGAGTAACAATGCTGAATTGGCCTTTTTGTGTTTTCCCCCCAAAGTCCGTGTTTTAAATGCCATCTGTCAAATGGGGGAACACAATGTCAAACAGGTCGTTTGACAAAGCGAAAACGGAGTAGGAAGAGAGTGAACTGAAGGAGCAGGAGATGTGCCAGTGTATGAACCCCGGTGACCTCTAAAGCCCGATGGAATGAAGGAAGTACACAAGAACTCTGACGGTGATGTGCTTTCTGCTCATCCCTTGTCTTTAGAGTGCAAAGATACCCTTATTTGATATGTTGTGTGATGCACACACAAACACACACACATATACATATATAGAGAAGTAAATATATGTATATATGCATACATGTCTAGCTTTGATGTGTCCGTAACTAAAACTCGGAGAACTCCTTTGCGCATTTTTCTGTAACAGATACACGAATGTCTTCCTCTTCATAGTCGTCAAAGTTGCTTGTGTCTCCAGGACCTCGGCACTTTGGTATGAACGGCGCCTCCACCTGGTGGGTGATAGGAGACACTGAACAGTTAATGGAGAAGTACATGACATTATGACATCCTTGTTCACTTGTAACTCATATACACACATACATACATATACATATATACACATACATACATATACATAAATATATATATAAACAGCCTGCATACACAAACTTAAAACCTCTCTTCCTAAAAAAATTATAATAAATAATTAATAATAA